ATCTGCACTACACTGTACTAAAAGATCTCAGTATTTCACTTTTTGTAATACACAGCACTGCAATATCTGTACAGTACAGTACTGTACTGCAGTATTTGCACTATGCAGTTCCGCAGTATTGGCACTATACAGGACTGCAGTTTCTGTACAATAGAAAATTTGTACTACAGAGTACCGCAGAAGGTGTACTAGATTATTGCAGAATCTATACTACAGAGGATTGCAGTATTCTGTACTACACAATATGACAGTATCTGTCTAATAACTAGTCTAAGTCCCCCTCTAGGACTAGTTTTAGTCCAACTTCTGTCGAACAAGTTTTAGTCAAATCCCCCTGTAGAACCTGTTTTAGTCTAACTCCCTCACTAGGACTAGTTTTAGTTTAATCCCCCTGTAGGACTAGCTTCAGTCTAATCCTCTGCAGCTGCAGTCTGGTCTCTCAGGTGTGGTTGGAGTTCTTACCTGATGTATCCCACCTGTGGCCGGTGGCTCAGCTGCCAGCGGTACGAGGTTTTGTCCTTCCAGCCGGTGTTCCGAGGATCCTTCCACAGCAGCTTCACCTCTCCAGCTGTGTCTCCGGTGTGCCAGAGAGCGTTCCTCAGAAACTCACCTGGTCCGGTCCGAGACTTCACTGCCTGCAGTACCAACACAAGTATACAGTTTTTAACCATTCCCACTGAGATCAGTTCAGCTTGAGAAGAGAATTAGGAGAACACAGAGAAACAGGACTGACATTGGTGCAGAAAACAGCTGAGGAGTCAAACCAGCAACCAGCCAATCAACCACATGAGGCGACTGAAAACCTGCAGGTTCTACATCAGTCGCTGTCAGTTGATCCCACCTAGTGAAACCTGTTAGAATTACTATTGACAACTGCAGAACCCCGATCTTGGATCTGAGGACCAACCTAACACCTATACCAGCAGATATATCAGCAAAATAAAGAACAGTAGAATCAACAACAGCAAAATCAATAAAATAACAGAAGAGTAAAGTGACATAAAGAATCACAGTATAAAGGACAGTAGAACACAATAGAACCCAGTAGAGACCTTAAGCTGCAGCGCAGGCTGGGCCATGGCTCTGAAGGGGATGGACTGCCAGTACGTCTGCTCTGTCTGTTTCCACATTACCACATAGAAGCTGGATGAGTCCTGGTAGGCAAAGATGAAGCCGGCATAGTCGTCGTCCGTCACAGTGTTGACATGAAATGTTCCCTCAAAGTCAACGCCGTTAAACGCTGTGTAGCCTGTGGATACATAGAGGAGGAAACCGTAGTACCAGAGCCAGAGGACAGCTGTGAGTTCATACAGGTTAAAGTGAAACACGTACCCACGGCTAAACCAGGATCACTGTTCATCGTCTGGACGATTTCCATCCCCTGCAGAGAAAAGTATTTTTCAGGAATGCCAGGATGAATAACTATTTGCACTACCAGTTATTAATCTGACAGTTCTCTTTAGTCTGAACATTTCTTTCTGTTTAGGCAGACAGTTTTTAAAACATTTAGTTTACTGTGATGTAATGAACAAACACATCAAGTCTTCTCATTTGAGAACCTGTAACTAAGGAGGTTTTTAATCAACATAAAGAGAACAGGTTCAGAAACAATGGTGTTCGGGACCAGAGGTCACCTGATTCAGGACCACCCAGTTGGGGTCGATCTGGGCATCGCCCTCCGGGTCCAGGATGACCGTCTGATAGGCTCTGAAGTCTGTCAGCGTGACCTCAGCACTCTCTGGACACACGTCGATCAGATCCATCACAGCGTCATTATCAAAGTCATTTTCGCAGACGTCACCAACGCCGTTAGCTGAGGATGGACATGGGAAGACAAACAGATGGTAGTCCAACACTGTTTAGTGTTTACAGAAATAAACTGGAAGAAGCTGTTCAAAGATCTGTGGCTACATCAAATTCTGTGGTTCCCAGCAGAACCTCGATACAATTGAGCTCCATAGTAACCAGCTCCCATACACATGAACACACCTGCCAGACAAGCAGACAAGCAGTAGATGCTACAAGTTACCAATGTTCCCTAAAGGCCTCACATGCAAACAATGTTAGATGCTACAATTTACTGATCTCTCCAAAACACGTCACATTCAGGCTATGGTGGGCACTACAATGAGCCAGCGTTCCCTAAAAGCCTCACATGCAAATTATCAGCAAAAGCTGTGAATTGCTGATGTTTTCTAAAGCCTCATGCGCTAACTATTCTGAGATGCTACATTTTACCGATGTTCCCTAAATGTCTCTCATTTGTTGGTCGACTCCACAATTTATCAATGTTCCTCAAAAATCACACATCAGTAGATGCTACAATTTATCGATCATCCATAGATCTACATTTTACGACTGTCTCCTAAAGGCCTCACAGACAGTTACAAATGCAGCCTGGAGCTATAAAATACAACTTTATGGCCACGCCCCTGACAAATAAACTGAAGTTTACCACAGATTACTGGAGTTTGCCACAGAAAACTAACTTTGAATGCAAGTTGAAATGCTATACCCATAGAAATATAATGTATAATTGGGACAAATATATAGTGAAACATATATAGTATATTATATTTAATGATGTATTTATATAATCAGGCTGGATGTGGAGTGTAAACCAGATATTCTGGTGTATGCACTGATAACACAAACTAAACCTGATGGACAGTTCATTGGTCAGTGCTCTTCGTCCAGCAGCTGTGCTTTTTTGTGCAGTTGTTACCGTCAGAGTCTTTCTGGTTGGGATTGACAATGAGCCTGCAGTTGTCATGGTCGTCCAGGACGCCGTCGTTGTCGTCGTCATGGTCGCAGTCGTCTCCGAGGCCATCGTTGTCGGAGTCGAGCTGGGAGCTGTTGGGGATGTCGGGGCAGTTGTCTCTGCTGTCCTGGTGACCGTCTCCGTCCCTGCAGAGATGAAACACTCAGTGTCCGTTTCATTTGGCTCTAACTTTTACTGTTTTCATCCTGCAGAGTCAAGATATTTACACTTGTGTCTTAGTTTTGTGTGTCAGCTAGGCTTGGGCTCAAATTTGATTCTCAACACTGTCAAAAACATCAGCTTTTGTTGTTTTGTTTTTTTTAAATTGAAAGAGACACTTATTTACTGTGATATATTGTAGTGAGCAACATGTAACAGGCTCAAGTTTAACTGGTGTAGAGTGGCAACGATGAACTAATTAATTAAATAGTCTTTTCTTTATTAACCTTTAAATTCTCTTATTGAAGCTTCTAAAATATGAATATTTTCCAGTTTCTTTCTTCCTGTAAAACAGTAAACTGAACATCTTTGGACTGGAAAACACTGATCAACATTTTACACAATTTTCTGATATTTTATAGACCAAACAACTAATTGATTAATCAAGAAAATAATCAACAGACAACAGAAATAATCACTAGATGCAGCCTCATTGGACGTACAGGGAACTTGGCAGTTGCCATTTTGATTTAAAATGAACCAACATATTTGCTTTCACTCCTAACCCTTTAACCGTTTTCTGATATTTCAAAGAACTAATTGAGAAAATAAGTGTACCTTTTTTTGGTGAAAAAGGAGGATTAGAAATAGAATGAAATTGCAACTACTAAACTAACAGAAGAATTTTTTGGAAATGATTGGTCATTTTGTACTCTCACGTTCATCTTTAAAGAGCTAAAACTTAATGTAGGTTAAAAGCATTTAATTCCAGCAAGTAACATGTTTATATAGCTGATATCACAGTGAAATGTAGGTATGAAGACACTGACACCACTCGAGCCTGTAGTCAGGTAATTTTTCATAAGTATTTCATGTGTATATTTCAGGTGGTTATTCTTATTCAACACAACCAGAGAAACTTGAGAACCAGAGGAAGGTGTGGGCGTCCAACATACGTGTCCTGGTTGGTGTCACAAACATCTCCCACCAGGTCGTTGTCAATGTCCGTCTGAAATAGAGACAAGATGTTCATGAAGACACACTGTGACCTTTTTGTTAATTCTGAAAGATTCTTGATCCAGTAGCCGATTTTTTAAAGTGCAGACATCTTAAACTGACAACATAACATAAAGCGTCAGCTTGTCATGTTCCGTTTTCAAGATTATTTGAGACCTAACATAAAAAATGTAGTTTAGAGGCAACAAAAAAGAACAAGATTAAGATCTGGGTTCAGATCATGTTATATATTTGTCTAAGATGGTCACTGTGTCAGATGAGGTGATTATAGTCATAAATTTATGCCATGACATGTGACAAACCAACTTTACAGGCTACATCCACACTTCTCGATTGTAAACACATAACTTGTTCTTGAGTTTCAGGAGACATGTGCATAAACTGTTAGGAATAGGAATAGGAATAGCCTTTATTGTCATTGTACACAAAAATTGTACAACAAAATTGGTTGAAGTATCTCCCCATCGTGCACTTAAAAAATTACAAAATACAATATGCATTTAAGTAATAAAACCTGTGGTTGTGCTTTAGGCCATGTCCAACTTCTAATGATATTTTTCTAAACTGATATTTTTTCCTCTATTTAAAACTGTCCACATGACCATTATTTTACAAAACACACTGTATGGACAAAAGTATTTGGACACCTGGCTGTTACACCTACAGGCATGAATATGGAGTTGGTCTCCCTTTGCAGCTACAACAGCTTCCACTCTTGTAGGAAGGCTTTCCACAAGATTTTTGAAGTGAGACTAAAGAAGAAGAACTCTTGATGTTGAATTAGAAAGCCTTGTTATAATTTCTGTTATAGTTCATTCCAAAGGTGTTGGATGGGGTTGAGGTCAGGGCTTTGTGCAGCCAGTCAAGTTCTTCCACAACAAACTCACCAAACCCTGTCTTTATGGCCTTTACTTTGAACATTGATGCTAAGTCAAGCTGGAATGGAAGAGTGTCTTCCCCAGACTGTCCCACAAAGCTGAAAGCACAGAATCTGTGGCAATGGATCTGAATAAAACATCTGAATTCAATGATTGAGAGATGTGTCCATATACTTTGTCCATATAGAGTATCTCTGTAGAATGCAAAAACAGCTACTAGCACCACAGGAGAACATTTGGTCATGTCATCGTTTCTGTTGATGATGTGGATCACATTTTTTTTAATGTTGGCAATCTGAAATTATGTGATACATTACATTTCAAGCAATACAGATGCGGTACCATATTATGAGAAACCAGCATCTTTCAGGTCAGACTGTTGTGGTGCTGATATAATGGAGTCTAAACACAGTGCAACACATCCAATAACTCTGAAAATATCTACAACAGGGAGCACATTTAACTGGGCAGCAGGAGGGTGGTGTGAATTCACAGCATTAATATATAATGATCTTTCACATCTCTCGTTAAAGACTTAAACTCCTTGAAAATGTTGGAACATGAATTTCATCAATCACCGCAACAGGCCAAGAGATAAATCAGAGTGGTCCAAAGATGACCAAGAGGTTACAGTATAAAGTCTTTCTTTTACTCTTATTTTTATGTTTTAGGTCTCTAAAAAGTTGAAAAAGAAACTGAGCTAGCCACATGTAGCAGACGTATGCAGGCTGAGACACATTTGTCATGAAAGAACAAGGTTTCATGTTAAGGTTAACATGCTGACTGCCTGGTTTTACCTGCATGGGGTTGCTGAGTTCAGGACAGCTGTCACAAGCATCTCCGACTCCGTCTCGATCTCTGTCCGTCTGCATCGGGTTTGGTACTTTCGGACAGTTATCGAGAACGTTGGGAATACCTGAACAAGCACATGCAAACACTATTCACCCACAATGTCTGGTTTTGGATTTTAAAGGTTAGTCAGTTTGTTCATTTCTGGATCAAGAGATTAGAATATCTAGTAGTGATGTTGATCCAAACAAACAAGATCCTGATGGTTCATCTGCTCTTTTACCAGCAGTGGAGCTGCTGTGTGAAGTTTGCACAGAGGGAGGTTCTAAAGGTGATAGTCCTCGGGGAGTAGATAAAGATATTTCATGAAGATCAGACCTGCAGCAATGGAGACTTTCTTTCTCTGGACAAACTGTGACGTTTGCGCTCAGAGCTTATTTTTCCTTGAATCAAAGAAACGTTCTGTAACGTCTATGTACTCTACAAATCTAAAACTCTGTGACTCCAAGTTTGGTGTCCGGGTTTCTGACACCTGTTTTACAATATTAGACACAATATCAACTTAAAGCAGTGCCTAGTTGTTGATTATTGTGAGTATTTGGAAATGAACAATATCCATTTGATGTCCACAACAGTGTTTCTGCAGTTCCAGTTTTTTAGATGACAGTGTTTCTGTCTTTGTCTGTGGAAGACATTGTTTCTGTGGTTTCTGTCTCTGCCTGTAGAGGGCAGCATAGATTCTAGCTCCTCGTCCATCTGTGATGTGAGGACAGGCTGGTTGTGTTTTACCGTCTCCGTCGATGTCCTGGTCGCAGGCGTCTCCTTGTCCGTTGCTGTCAGTGTCTTTCTGGTCGCTGTTGGGGACATTGGGACAGTTGTCACAGGCGTCTCCAAACGAATCACTGTCTGAGTTCTGCTGATCTTTGTTAGGCACCAAACGGCAGTTGTCCTGAGGGACAGAGGACACGTCACGTGATAGTAGCTGTTACAGGTGTGATAGTCTTAGTCTGTTATAGCTGCAGGCATAGTCTTTGTCGAACCTCCACGTTTTTGATGCCGTCTCCGTCTGCGTCCTCATCGCACTGATCTCCGATCCCGTCATTGTCGGCGTCCTCCTGACCAGAGTTTGGAGTGAGCACACAGTTGTCCTGGAGGACAAAGACACCATGTCAAACTCAAACACTGCTGCTGTTAAAATGGTGACTCTTTCATTGTCAAGTCATCTTTAATACGGAAACAACTATTTAACAAGTTCTGCAGATTGGTTTACTTGACCAAAATCCCAAACTACATCAGTTTATTGTACAGTGATATACAGGGCAATTAATGATAGAATTTACTTCCGAACCATATAAACTTACTATTGAGTGATGTCTGAGATTGGCTAACAGTTGTTTTCCTGGTTGGTCACCACACTGCAGGTAAAAATTCCCTACGATACTGTGTGATATCCTTGTGCTGCTTAACTGCCAACTCACATTGGCAGTTAAACAGCACTCTCATTCCTTTCGACTTGTTTAATGCTGAATACACTACAGAAATCTCAAATCAGCAGGAAGATCTGCTACTGTTTATACATGGGACGTCCTCTTAAACTGCCATCACATGAAGAGAGAGACCTGCTGGTCTGAAAGCAGCTGAAGGTAAGCACTGTCATTGGCTATATTTTTTGCCATTTATTACTTCTTTTTTTTTTTTTTGTATAATTACATGCACAGAACCACGTTCCCTGAAGTCAAAACATCACAATGTCTTGTACATATTTCCAGAACATTAAGTATTTGTTGGGTCACTATTTTTGATTGTCAGCCGATAATGGAAGGATAAAAGAATGGAAGAATGGAACTAATTCAACAACAAAATAACCTTTTTATCTATTACAAATTGAGATTTTCAAGGCTTTTTTTTTTTTTTTTTCAAAAATCAGATTCTTAGACATTTTAAAAATGACTTTACCAGACTAGAGAACTTCTGACTCATTTAAAAGGCCCTGTCTTAGGGAAAGTGAAACCAATGCTTTCTAAAGACTCTACCAGATGTCCAGACATCCTGTGTTGTGTGTGTGTCACAGTGTAATCCTTCAAAGTTTTTACATTTGATGAACTTGAATAGAGAATATTTGTTCAAGCAAATTAAACTTTATAACCACAAGTTTAACTTGCTGTTCTAAATATATCTTGAATATGTTTTTCCTCTTAATTTGCATCCATATAATCCAAAATATAACATTACACTGTTTGACACTGTGATCATTTTATTCTATATTATGACAAATCGGACAGGGAAAGAAGAGAAGGCATGACAGAACGTGACAGGACAGGATATGCTGATTAATCATTGGTCAAGTCCGACCTGTTTGCAGTGTTTGTCGTTGTCCATGCAGGGCAGAGAGCGGTCGGGATATCCGTCGATGTCTGTGTCTACTCCACATGTGTTCCCATTACCGGCCCAGCCCACGTTACACTGAAAACACACACATTTCACACTGTCAACGCTGCTTCATAGTGAATGATCCAAGGTAATTCCATTAAATAATCATTAAAAAATTATTTACTTTTATTGTGCAGATTTTTCCCGTTCTGCTAATTATAGATAATAAGTAGCAAAAAAAGAAAACAAAACTAATATGAAGTATTATTTTACATGTTGATGGTAAGAAGACAGGCGAAAACTGTAAATAATGTCCAAAACAAAAAAAATCTATAATTTCCAAAAAATAACATCTTTAAAAAAACATTTAACACAAAATTACCCTTTTTTTTTTTTTTACTGTACTTAAATCTACAAAAAATAACATCCATATTTGCTGTTATTTGAAAAGAAATGAAAAAATGGTAAACCATTTTAAACTGTAATTTTACAGAGTTTACCTGTTTTCGGAAATTACAAATCATACCAAGAAAAATCACAGAATAAAAGTATCTACTTACAGGTTTTTGGTAAAAAAAAATAAATACATTTTTTTTAAAAAGGAAAAAGAAAGAAAGAACAAGCCAATCAAGCTGTAAATGGCACATTAAAAATCTATATTTTTTACAAATAGTACTTTGTATGTTTACAATGTGTAATCATGAAATTACACAATTTTGCTATATTTAACAGAGATATTTGCTATTATTTGTTACAGTTTTTGAGTGTTAGAATAGTTCATAGTTTTCTCTGCTGGCAGATTTGAACCACAACACACTTTTAATGATTTCACATTTTTGTTGTTTATTATTTTGTTGCTGGTCCTGTGAGGAGCATCATTTAGGTTAGGTTAGTAACTTTAGTTTTAAATTAGTTAGGTTAATCTCCACAATTAATAATGTTGCTGTATCTTAGCCAAACTATGTTTTATAGTTGCGTAAAATTGTATTTATATGTGTAAGGTTTTGACATTGATTTTGACTCCAAAGCTATTGTTTGAAATGTGCTGTATGAATAACTGTGACTTGACACTCATGTGTGCGTTCCTGATGATATTAAATAAACTTGATTTAAACAGTCTAACACGTGCTGCATGGACAATCTCTGCTCACCCTGCAGGAGACCTCCCCATTCCTCTCCATGGCACAGTGGGCGTTGGTGTCGCAGGGGTTGAACGTCAGTGCGTTGCATGACTTTCTGGGGAAGCAGCCTGAAGTCTGGTTACCGAGGAAACCAGGTTTACAGCTTCCACATTTGTATGAACCCTGTGAAAGAGACAGAGATGTCGTATCAGCAGAGTCCACAAGAGGGCGCTGTCTCACTGAGGCTCACCTCGTGGAAACAGCACAACCATGACTTGAAGTAGAGAAAACTCAGAAATGTCTTCTGTGCAGCATGACACAGAATGGCAGAAACCACAAAAACGAAAAAACAACAATTGAATTGCTTTGATTATTTATTTTACGAAAATTGAAAAAACCTGGAATCAGCAGTTGCAACATTATTCTAAGTGTCCACGAGTATTACCAATACTGGAAAAATGTTGACTCTGTGTACCTATTTACATTTTTACAGCCTCTCCAAACTTTTTCATTGTACTTGGCATATAAATTTTAGAAAGATCTTTCACCATGCGAAATGTGTCTTTGCCTTTGTTGTTGTCGGGGTTTTTTGCTAGTTTTTCATTTCTTTGTGGTTGTTCAGCATTTTTTTGTGGTTATTTTGTGCTCCTTTTGTGTTTCTTTGTGGTTGTTCTGTGTCTTTTTGCAGGTGTTTTGCTTCTCTGTGGCTATTTTGCATCTCTTTGTGGTAATTTTGTGTCTGTTTGTGCTCATTTTGTGTCTCTTTGTGGTCGTTTTACATCTCATTACGATTGACTGGCATTTGTTTGTGGCTGTTTTGTGTTTCTCTGGTGTCTTTTTGTGTCTCCTTGCGGTCATTAAATGTAGCATGTCTCAAAAAAAGTATACAGAGAAGCAAGTTGTCAGCAAGTTGTTGAAAGATGCATTCAGCATGGTGAAGCATCTTTCTGCAGTTGATTTGAAGGGTAGAGTGAAAAAGTCAGTAGAGGCTGTATACTGGAAATAGTTAAATATCTATAGTACTTTAAGCCTCCATTTTTCCATTGTTGGAAACAAATATTGACACATGGAAAAATGTTACATTTTTTGTAAAATAAATAATCAAAGAATTCAACTTTTGCCTTGACAATGTTGTGTCATGCTGCAAAGAAAACATTTTTGAGTTCTCTCTTATCCTAGACACGGTTGTATTGTTTCCGTAGAGTTGCACGACTTTAACTAATTGATTAATCAATTAATTGCTGCAGCTGTAATGTGACTGATGTTTTGTTGTTGTTGCAGTGAAAAATGAGCCAACAGTGAGGAACTACTACTAAAGTCACAGCTGTGACAGCAGCCTCGCAGTGAATCTCACACCAGCTGAAGTAAAACACCAGCAGTAGAAACCGGAAGGCTAAAAGACAAACAGCCGTGAACTCACCACAGTGTTGATGCAGACAGAGTTGGACACACAGGCGTCAGGTAGATCGACGCACTCATCAATATCCACACACTCCTGAGAAACACATTCAACATGTTACTTCACAGACATGTTGTCGCAGCAGGTGTCATAAAATCAAAACGTCTGCTGCGAAAAACAATCAAAACCTCCCCTTGGCCAAGTTACAAAGTTAAAACATCTGCAGCAAATTTTAAAAAGTAAGTGGTGAGGAGGGACTTTTTTTGGTCTAATTATGTCACTTATTTTTCTAACAATAAACGATAACCTGTAGGAACAATGAGGACAGAGAAGGGGCATTTGATTTTTACAGGACGATTCTAATAAAACAAACAAAAAAAGAATGCTTTTTGTTTTCTTAACCTTTTACACAATAAAAGCAGTAGAGGAATTACTATTTCTACTATTATCAGTTTTGATTGTAAACAAATGCGCTAACATGAACATAAATCACCCTAAACTACTTCCTGTTTCTGCTGCCAATTTTTGTCAAATTACAAAAAACAATAAAACTCTGCTGCTTGCATTTTCTGAATTCTTGAATTGAGTTCTTTGGCAGTGCTGCACCTGAATACAATGTGAAATAAGGCTGCAACAAATTATTATTTTCCTTGACAACTGTTCTCTTGATTGTTTTCTGGATTAATTGACAAGGTGTTTGATCTATAAAATGCCAGAAAATGTTCTGTTTTGTCCAACGACATTCAGTTTACTGTTACAGAGGAGGAAAGAAACCTTAAAATATTTACATTTAAGAAGATGCAATTACAGAATTCAGACAGTTTTTTTCTTAAAATTTGCTCAAATTTATTAACTTATTACCAAAATAGGTGGAAATTAATTTATTAGTTGACAACTTATCAATTAACACTTGCACCGAACTAATTTAGAGTTTCTTTTTTAAATGCACACAAATTGTAATTATAGTTAGAATAACCTCGGTGTAAAAGCAAATACGTTGGATAATTAAAAAATGTCTATGTTCAGCTGTTTCAGACAATTTGAGAAGCATTTTTAAAACACAGGCTAGACTATGTGTTTAGTTAAAAATACAATATACAGAGCAGTAAATTATGCAATATGTGCATAAAATAACATCACAGTGAGACAGAAGATGTTTTTTTCCGAGGATGTAATAGTGTATTTTGGTGCTCTGAGCTGTTTCACCTCCATCCACAGTTAGTTTAATTGCTTCCAGCTGTACTCAAATACTGACTTTTCCAGCGTGAACTGCTCAGACTGTAAAACTGCTCAGACTGAGTGTGAAGTCTGGACACTGACACACATTGACACACACCCAGAGAGGTAGAAAACAAGCTTGCCTTTGTCAGCCACCGCTTCACACATCACATTCTTGAACAAGCCACATTCGTTCATATGTCTGACCTGTCTGTGTGTCTTGGCATAGTCCAGTCCAGTTCCAGTCAGTGGCGCCCCCCACAGGCCTGGAGGACATGGCTGGCAGCTGAACCCCCCCACAGTGTTGACACAGGCCCCAGGAGAGTAGCAGGGCTGCAGCTCACACTGACAGAGGAGGGGGGTGTTACTGGTACTCTGGTATTTACTGATGTTCTGGTGTTGTTGTACAGCAACATTAAAAAGAGCTGACTGATACTGTGTCGGTCCCATGGTGACTCCACAGACCTCTGAATGTGTCATGTTTGTCTGTTTACGATCAATTTGCATTTCTTTGTGATGGTTGTGTATCTCATCATGGGTTTTTCGTGTCTCTATGGTCATTTTTCTTTACATTGTGGTTGTTTTGTGCATCTTTGTGGTCATCTTAGATCTTTTTGTAAAATGTTGTTGTATGTTGATGTGTGTTTTGGTGTTATTGTAGTGTGGGTGTTCCTGTATGTTG